ATATATAGTGAAATTATCACTAGAATTTCACTTATCACTACAATATCACTCAATTTCATCATGTTTCTTCTTCTCGCTTTCTTCGCTTTAGTCAACTCACAAGCAGTAAGTAGTACTGTCCTCGGGCGCTTCATATAATGCATCAATTTTTCCTATCTAGCAATATAAGAGTATCACTGACCTGCTCCTAGCTGAGCAGATTTCAAACACCATTGTCACCTCAACAACAACGACTACCACCCCTACCATCGAACTCAGAAACGCTCAAACACATGGAACCAAACTCAAAGACATTGGTGAATTTATCCAATCTGTTACTGGCTGCTTAGCAGCTATTGGATCGATCACGGGTACGGTTGTATGTTGGTGTGGAATAAGATGTTATCGCAACGGAGGGGAGTGTAAGGTAAGATATTAACGCCCCATACCTTAATGCATTTAACTTAACTGCTGCTCTTCTTTAGAGCGCTTGGTGGTACCCGAAGACGTTAAGTGAATATCGTCATCGACGTGATGCAGCGCGAGGTGAGTATAAAACTGTTTTTCCTACCAAACAAAACATGATTTTTTTTCTTTTCTTACAGACAGACAAATCGCCCTCAACCACCTCTCCATATCAAACCCTACCACTGACCACTCAAGAGCCTGATCATTTTATTACTTGATTTTCCATTTTCATTTTTATTACTGATTCCTTTTTTTGCTTCGATACAAATAAACTTCCAAATACGAATAATAATCAAGGCACTAATCAGCGATTTCCTAGCTGATGACTCTGTCAAAACTGAACAGTAAGGTGAGCACTCAATAGAGTATCAAAAGTTCTATCTGGAGCCATCAATAATAGAGTTGGAGCCAGTGAAGAAACGAATCGCCACAGCATTTTCTCATATTTACCCTTGATGTCATATGATCAAGGTACTAATTAGCGATTTTCTCGCTGATGACTCTGTCAAAAGTGAAAAGTAAGATGTGCAATCGGTAGAGCGTGAAGAGTTCTATCTGGAATTAATAATAGAGTTGGAGCCAGTGAAGAAACGAATCGCCACAGCATTTTCTCATATTTACCCTTGATGTCATATGATCAAGGTACTAATTAGCGATTTTCTCGTTGATCACTTTGTCAAAAGTGAAAAGTAAGATGTGCAATCGGTAGAGCGTGAAGAGTTCTATCTGGAATTAATAATAGAGTTGGAGCCAGTGTATAAACGAATCGCGACGGGGTTTCCCGAAATTGGCTGTCGGTTTTTGACTATAATCCCTGGGTTTCTCCTTGATAGTGTGATAAATTTTTGGAGCGACAGCTGGAACAGAAAGCGCTTGTCCAGTGGTGCTTGGAGCCAACGGAAGCAGAATTGGAACCAGGCTGTGGGCGAATCCCTTCAGGAATTGCTCGAATCCTGACCTAGGATATCCTACGTCCATTCATTTATAAAATAATCAATAAAATTATTAATTAGCGGACATTTCTTTGATTTTCACTTTTTTTGGAATAATTTAATTGCTGCATCAAAAATTGTTTCATTTTTAATAAGTTGCATAAATTTAATATCTTGTCTTAATTCTGCTTTCATTTTTTTATCTTTAATAGCATTTAATTGAGTATCAATATTTTTCGTTACATGAAACCAACACATAATGTTTTTTTCAATAACATTAAATACATTAATAAAACCATTGGTTATAGCTCCAGATGCATCACCAACTGATATAATTGGACAATAATTAATATTATATAATTTCTCGATAGTTAATTGGACACTTTTAAACATAAACTCAAAATCATTAGTTTGCTCATTTATACATAACGCAATACCAAATGGATGAAAAGCACACTGTTTATCAGTAGTACCCACAATCAATACAGGATAATCCTGCCATATTAATTTATAAGTTGCATCTGTACATACATGATTTGAATTTAAACAATTTTTCATTAAATTTTTGGTTGTAACAAATAATCTAAATAATGGATCGGCATCATCATCTTTGATATAATAATTAGCAACAAAACATTCATCAGGATCATTTGGAATAATAGATTTTTCAATACACCACTTTTTAATATAATTTAAACTAATTTGAGCTGGACCATATAATTTCTCGCGAAGAGCTACCAAAAAGCTTGAAATTTGCGATGCCTTTGGTTGTATTATTTTCAATTTATCAAGTTCAGATAAAATAGCTTTTGGCGTAGTGTATCCATTTTGAAATAATTCAATAATAACATTTTTTACTTCAATTGGAATACCAGTTTGTTTGCTTTCTGTTGTATGATCATGCTGGATAATTGCTTGAAATAATGTTACTTCAAAGTTGCTTGCATGAAATAATAAATAAATTTTTGCTGGACAATTTGAACCACGTTTAAAACTGCATTTATAATATTTTTTGGTTCCTTGCTCTGTATCATTAATTTTACAGCAAATCCATGTGAAATTATTATATTTAACAGCCTCCTCTTCATCACATTTGCCATCAGAGAAGACTTTCACGTTTTCATATGATAAGCCGGATGCTCTCATCTTCTTAGCTGAGCTAATAATATCACCAGCATCACCATCGTCATCCGTTGCTTCTTCTCTGTAACTTGGTACAATATCATCATCTGATAATGCTTCTGCCATTTTTTTAATGGTATATTTTGTTATATTTTTTAAACTAACTTTTTTCTTATCACTTATCGTCATTCCCAGCCCATATATACTCTTTCAATTAATTGATAAGTACTAATCAATTATAGATTACGTTCAAATTAATTAGATAATTTGATAAACTGATTGATAGTCATTTGTTAAAAGTGATAATATATTAAATTAAAAGACAGAACATTTTTTGATTCAGAAATTTAATTGATTTAAAAGTTGTTTAATCAAAAAATTAGATTAAGCAATTTTTTTAAAAGTATTCTTTCACCGGAATAGATACTACTATATTAAGTTAGGAAATATTAATATAATTTAGATATAGATTGCTATATTTTTAGGTATTATATTAAATGCATGCCATTGAAATTGCAAAAATGATGGATGTTACAATAACACATGATGATATTGAAGTTGCGCATTTTACGGGTGCGAAGGATGTACAACAACGTGATGTTATTGTCCGTTTTTATTCACGAGAAACATGTCAAAAATTATTAAAAAATCGTAAAAAACTACAAAAAAAACAATCCGATCGTAAATATTTTATATTTGAGGACTGTACAAAACGAGCAATGGCTTTATTTAGTAAAATGCGTCAACATTTACCCGAAGACACTAAATTCCATGTATACATAAGAAATGGGAGAGTATTATACCGGCCTTCTTTACAAGCGAAACCAGTGGTGATTGATAGAGATCAAACAGTTTCTGATCTTCTTTTAAAATTAAAATTAAATGGTGCGTGAGAATTAGGCAAGTTAAGGTTTTCTCTGTTTATTTTTTTATGGTTTCTGTTCAGTCCTTTTTCCTCGGGCTCTCTATCTTATTTATGTCTTTCAATAGATGAATTCACGTGTTTCTTTCGTACTTGTCTTCATTTTAAATCGAATTATGTATTGTGCACAGTTACGGTAGGAGATATCATTATATGCTGGTACATGGCCTATGTCATCGTATTCTCCAGTCTTGCTTATTTTATTTATTTCTCTTCAACAATACAGACGAGTACGAGTGCTTGAGAGTCAAGATAAATTTTATCGTCAAGATATCCCTTTTTCCTCCTTATTTCTTTTTTTTACTTGCGTGTTGCGGTGCGTTCTACTGTTGAGAGTTTTCTTTTCTTATGATGTCAGATAGATTGAATGACTGTGCGATCGATCACACACAACAAATAGTCATTCTTTTAACATTCGTAGTTTATTAGCATCTGCAGTTTTTAATAATAAGGGAAATAAGAAAAATAACTTACCTACTAAATACGATCAACTACAGACTCTGGTAGCTATTGAGAATCCGATTGTAGTAGCCATTGTAGAGTCATGGCTTGTTAAGCATATCAATGATAATGATATATCTATACTAAACTATACATCGTATCGTTTAGATAGAGAAAGGAGAAATGGTGGCTGTTTAATTTACTTTCGCAACGATGTGTTGGTTAAAAGGTTAAACGATTTTGATAGCTCTAATTTTGAAACTATGTTTTTCGTTGCTACCTTACCTGCTACTGGGAATATTTTAGTCATTTTATCATATAGAGCGGAATCCATCCTAGACGTTTTCGAAGCATACTTGGAATTTTTATCTGACTCTATATCTACTATCATTTCTGTGCGCTCTCTTTCTGGTGTCCTTCTATTAGGAGATTTTAACGCGCATTGCTCAAAATGGTGCAATGAGAGACCCTCTACAGCCGAAGGCAATAAATTTTTTTCTTTTGTACAAAATTTAGGATTTTTTCAACATGTACATGAGCCAACTCGACTCACTGCAAGAACGTGTTTAGATTTAGTGATTACAAACAATCGTAATCTTGTTAAGGACACAAAAGTGTTACCTATTTTGTGTGAAATGTGCGATCATGCGCCCGTTCGAATTTGACTAGATGGCAGGGTCCAACCTCCATCACATACTTTTCGTAAAATTTGGAACTATAGCGCTGTTAGTTGGGATCAGTATCGTTTCTTTCTTGCTAGGAAACTCAATGAATCTGCCCTTTCCTTTTTTAATGCAGATGTTGAAAATAAATGTTTAATTTTATTATCGGGTATACAGCAAACTGCGAAAATTTATATACCTCACAAAATAATAAAAACATGTACTAATGATCAGCCATGGTTCACAGATTCATTGCGTTTTCTATATAAAAAGAAAAACAAGTTGTACCGCACTTACAAAATACAAAACAATGATATATCCAAACAGCGCTATAAAGAGGCCCAAAAACGTTTTGATTGCGCGTGTATCAAA